CACCAGGCACCGGAGCCGCCCTGGGGCCGCTCGGGCTCGGTGAGGGCACGGTGAGGGCACACTGACCCTGGGACTGCGCTGAAAGGGACCCAGAGCCCGAGCCCGCATCGCAGCTGCTGCCTGCAGCCCCCGAGACCCCGGCGCTGCTGCTCCCCGGGGGACAGGGACACACGGCCGGGGAGGAGGGGACAGGGACACACGGCCGGGGAGGAGGGGACAGGGACACACCGCGGGGGAAGGAGGGGACAGGGACACACCGCGGGGGAAGGATGCCGTGTGCGGGCACCAGGCGGAGCTGGTGTGACAGGGACGGGCGGGACTGTCCCCGCAGTCCCCGCACCCCGGGACCCCGCCCGGCGCAGCCGCGACACACGGGGACAGCAGAAACACAGCAAACCTAACTGCAATAACAACAACAATAATAACAGCAATAACACGAAAAGTAACAATAACAGCAACAATCTGTGAAATCTGCAAAGCCCAAGAGGTGACAGTAGAGGAGGTGGCCGTCACTGCTCCAGCCCTGCACGGGTGACCGGTGAGCACCGACTGCACACAGCCCGTGCAGGGGCTGGAGCTGCCACTTCATCTTCAGCAAAAGAGACAATTCCTGGTTTCTGTTCCCGTTACAAACATGAGATTTCTGAATCATCTGTTTCCCCCCACCAAGCGGCTGCGAAGCTTTGTTTGTACTGGGTGCAGAGCACGGCACCAGCACAGGCGAAGAGAAGGAAAGTCCCAGCCCAGACCCAGCAGAGTAAATCTGGGAAGCTCGGCTGTGCTCACAGGACTGCCTCAGGATTTACCGAGGCATTCATGAAAGCTCAATTTGGCCCAGAATTCAGGAAAAAGTGCTTTCAGCATTTGCTTCCCCGAAAGAATCAAGTCTGCCAGCTTCTTTTTAACATAAAAGACCAAGCCTGTGATCTCACTGACCACGGCAGGGCTTTCTGGGCTGCCTGCCCACAGCACGCCAGGAGTGGGGAGCAAGGGAGCACTCACCCCCACCTTTGTGCTCATATCCCGGCATCAGGGAGTGCTCCCTGGGCAACTCATCCCTCAGAAGTACCACTGTGCTTGCTTCAGAGGAGACAAAAGACACAATTGCTGTTTCCAAGGGCTAAACAAAAAAAAAAACAAAAACAAAACAAAACAAAAAAAAAACCAACAAAAAAAACCCAAACAAACCAAAAAAAAACAACCACCCAAAAAACGGCACTCACCCCTTCAGGTTGTGTTAAAGTGACCCCACAGCAAGTTCTGTGCCCATGGCTCACTCTCTCAGCACGGGAGCAAGGGAGCACTCCCACCTTTGTGCTCATATCCCGGCATCAGGGAGTGCTCCCTGGGCAACTCATCCCTCAGAAGTACCACTGTGCTTGCTTCAGAGGAGACAAAAGACACAATTGCTGTTTCCAAGGGCTAAACAACAACAACAACAACAAAAAAAAAACAGCACTCACCCCTTCAGGTTGTGTTAAAGTGACCCCAGAGCAAGTTCTGCTTCTTGTGACCCCAGTGCCCATGGCTCACTCTCTCAGCACACACCCTGCTCCTGCAAGAACAGATTTCCTCCCTCTATCACCCAGACTGTGCCAATGATGCAGGAGCAAAGCCTTTCAGTTCAGATGGGACTGTTCATCATCATCCCCTGTGGGCACATGGCAGCATCTCTGCCCCTCTGGGAGCGGGGTCACCCCCTGGCTCACAGGGGTCACCCCCTGGCTCACAGGAGTCCCAGGGCCACATCCCCACTCCTGGGCATGGCACTGCCTGACACAAAGCAGGATCCCACTGTCCCCAAAAAACTGCACACCTCAAAATTAAAATCTAATTTAGAATGTTTTAAGCAGTGCTGCCCACCTTGGCTGCTGTCCATCAAAAGAATCAGCAGCTCAGTACCCACAGCACCATGACCCCCATGGTCACAGCCAGGTCACAGCCATTCCCATCATCCTTTATACCAACACACCCCAAAGGTAAAAATCCCACTGCATTTCCCTTCATTCAGTGCTGTGATGCCATGATCCTCTCAGCATCTTGTCAAACTCCCTCTTCAGCTTCCCACCAGAGCTGCTTTCCCCAGTGCGCTTTGCTGGGCCCAGCTCATGGGATGGGAAGCCCTGGCTGAGCTCACTGCCAGCCCCACACAGCTCATGCATCCATTCTCTCTGGCTGCTTACCAGGAAGCTCCTCTCAGGGTGTTTGGGACACAGACCTCCAGCAAACCCAGCCAACCCGTGCTCCTTACTAGACTTTTTAAAAAGCCTGAAAGAAATGGCACAGTGTGCAAGGAAGATGTATAAAATAGAGGCTGCAGAGATATATGAACAGTCTGGAAAATGTGAATCTTTGCCTTCCAATATGGAATCTGTCCATGGGAAATGTGCCCTCTGATCCAACACACCCTGCACACCTGCCTGTGTAATACAGAATTTGTACGAGATATATCCTGTGCTTAAAATACATGGATTTTACCTGCTCACTGTTAAAAGCAGTATTTTCACAGCCATCTTCCTTTGACTTGAAGCCCTTTTCCATGATCTGTTGCAGGCAAGGTGAAACTTGTCCCTTTTTTTTTCTGAATGATGAAACAATTCCCTCAGGCTAGACACTGACCTTCTGCCTCTAGGTAAAATAAGATTATGCTAAATAGTCACACTCAAGTACCTTTGGCACGAGAGAATGGAGAGAAGGCCATAAAATCTCTCTTTAAAGCTGTTCCTCCCAGGAATCCCACTTCTGCCTCGATTCCCAAGTCCATGCTTATCCCATGCATGCCCAGTGCAGGTCTGTAAGCTCGTGTTCAGGGAGCAGTGCCCTGCTCTGAGCCCCTGCTCTCCCAGGAGCCTCCAGCCCACCCTGGCACACACCACAGCAGGCCTGGGGACCAGCCCCTGTGAGCTCCTCTTGGCTGCTTCCCTACTGAGCAGACGTTTTCCCCAGCTCTGAAAAGCCCTGCTGAGTTGCTAGGAAAGATTAAATAATCACTCTCGTAGACATCACAGTAGGATTCATTAGAAAGTCCACAATTTTTGTGGAGCTTGTGAAAACCTGGGGGATGTTAAGTGTCCAGGGAATGAAGTGTCCTGTTCTGTAGGTTTTGGTCCCCAAATTGAAGGGTTCATGAGCTTACTTGGCAGGGCAGCACCAGCTGGAAGGGCCCCGAGCAGGGACTTCCCTATATCCCCTCCAGAATTCAGATATATTTAAGGCAGAAAATACCTCTTTGTTGTACTGTTTGGAAGGTAAGTATGCCCAGATGTTGGCTCTTCTTTGAATAATTTCACTCCTCCTTCATATTCTTCCCATCTCTTTCCTGGTGAGATTTACTTAATCCTACTTGAGAAAGAGAACTGATCAAGATGGGAGTTATTTCAGCATCTGTTGATGCCGAATCATGACTTCATTTCTCCCATCCTTTTTACTCTTGAGGATTTAGCAATTCCCTCCAAGACTCTCAACTTCTCTTGTCTTCTGTTAATTAAAAACCAGCTAGGATTGCCTGCTAATTGCACACTGGTTTAACAAAGCCTGGCCCGTTGCTGTGTTTATTTTAAGGGTCACATGAATAGGCAGCAGCAGGTTTTACTGGAACTTCTCTTCAAGTGTGTGGTTTTTGCATGTACTGTGCTGAGTTGGAAAAAAGATATCGCTAGAAATATTTAAAAGAATATTCTTATGTTTCAAGCCTTGAACATTGGCAACATTGATAGATTTAAATACCAACAACAGGGAAAGCAAGAAGGAGCACAAAGGGAAACCAGCATGACTACTATGACCATGCCAAAGCTTGTTCCAGTATGTCCTAGCAAGGGATGGTGAGTGCCCACAGCTGGGGACATCCAGCTCCTTGGCAAGCTCAGCCAAGCTGCACCTTCAAAACCCATCTGAAGATGTCACTGTCTATTTTTCAGCATCTCCAAACAGCTGTAGGAGTCACATGTCTTATTCTTTATTCATTGCACAACACAACCCTCACCTATTGTGCGTTGAAAAACCAAGCCAAACCAACATCTTTCTGTAAATACAGCGTTATCTTTCCTGCAGCCTCCTTAGCATCTCTCCGTGGGAATTCAGTGTCTGCCTGAGTGACCCCTGGTGGGGTGTCACAGCGACAGGGCAACAGCAGTCACACAGAGGTACACCCTGAGCTGCAGCAGTCACACAGAGGTACACCCTGAGGAGGAGCAGTCACACAGAGGTACACCCTGAGGAGGAGCAGTCACACAGAGGTACACCCTGAGGAGGAGCAGTCACACAGAGGTACACCCTGAGGAGGAGCAGTCACACAGAGGTACACCCTGAGGAGGAGCAGTCACACAGAGGTACACCCTGAGGAGGAGCAGTCACACAGAGGTACACCCTGAGGAGGAGCAGTCACACAGAGGTACACCCTGAGGAGGAGCAGTCACACAGAGGTACACCCTGAGGAGGAGCAGTCACACAGAGGTACACCCTGAGGAGGAGCAGTCACACAGAGGTACACCCTGAGGAGGAGCAGTCACACAGAGGTACACCCTGAGGAGGAGCAGTCACACAGAGGTACACCCTGAGGAGGAGCAGTCACACAGAGGTACACCCTGAGGAGGAGCAGTCACACAGAGGTACACCCTGAGGAGGAGCAGTCACACAGAGGTACACCCTGAGGAGGAGCAGTCACACAGAGGTACACCCTGAGGAGGAGCAGTCACACAGAGGTACACCCTGAGGAGGAGCAGTCACACAGAGGTACACCCTGAGGAGGAGCAGTCACACAGAGGTACACCCTGAGGAGGAGCAGTCACACAGAGGTACACCCTGAGGAGGAGCAGTCACACAGAGGTACACCCTGAGGAGGAGCAGTCACACAGAGGTACACCCTGAGGAGGAGCAGTCACACAGAGGTACACCCTGAGGAGGAGCAGTCACACAGAGGTACACCCTGAGGAGGAGCAGTCACACAGAGGTACACCCTGAGGAGGTGCAGTCACACAGAGGTACACCCCGAGCTGCAGCAGTCACAGCACATCCAAAAGCGCTCCGCTGTCCTCGGGCAAGGATGAGTCCGTCATGTTATGAATAGAAAGTTGCGCCCGGCCCGGCCGCGCTGCCGGCCCGGGAGCGGGACACGCGGGCCTCGGGGCCTCGCTGCCCGCCCGCTCACCGGCAAGGCCTGCACCCGGCTCGGGCTGTGCTCCACCCTGCCGAGCCCTGAGCTCATGGCTTCCCCGCCCAGGGTGACCCTGCTTTACAGAGAGAGGGGCTGCCACACAGTCCTGCGGGATTCGTCCGCTGCCTGTATCACGGCGCTGCTGGGAAAGCCCGGTGTTTGTTTCAGGGGTCCTGGAGCTGCTTTGAACCTGTTGGAAATCAGAGAGAAGCCGGTTACCACACGCTGACCAAGGATGATGCTCTCGCCCAGCCCTGCTGTGCTGGGGTCACCTGCAGCCTGGGTCAGCTTACCTGGGGAAGTCCCTGCCCAAGGAGGCTGTGGATACAAAAAATCCACATGCATTCCAGATAAACACTTGGAAAGGAGAGCCGCTGCCAGTTACCACAAGGCGCTTCGGGGGGAATGACAACTCCATGTGGAGTCTGCGAGCAGAGCCTGGGATTTAGTTTGCAATATGGCAGGAGATCGGGGCAGGGGGGTAAATTGCAGATACTCATAAGAAAGATTTACAGTATGGGCTGAAGAGTTGTAGAATAAAGCTCTAGGCTGTCAGCCTGCTGTCTGGAGCTCGAGCACAAGATACATCTCGAGTTCAAGTGGATTACACCTTCCTTTCTGAGGAGCACAGTGCAGCATGGTCAAATCCCCAAACAAGCTTCCAAATTTCCTGTCAGTGAATTCATGTACATCTGTCAGCTCAAAGACCTTGTATCTACAGCAGGAAGAGCCACAGGTTAATTTAGGAAGGGACCTTTGGAGGTCACCTGGCCCAGTCCCCTGCTCCAGCTAGGATCAACTTCAAAGCTATGTGAAGATTCCCAGGGCCTTGACCACTCCAAGAGGGTGAAAACCAGTTATAGATTGAGGCAGCAAGGGCTGCCCTGAGATTAGTGTTCAGAGCAGCATAAAAATAGGCTGAACCAAGTAATTAACTTCAACAGAGGACTTCTGGGAGGAAAAAGACAGGGCAAACAATTTAAAATCCAAATTACAAGAAAAAAATAACCAGAGGTGGGAGGGGTTATTAGAATGGAAAGAAAGCACACTGAGCCAAACTTCCATTCTATTCACATGTATAATTCTCACTACATATGATCTCAGCACAGACTTTGTCTTTTTTTGTTTATTTTTGTTTTAATTTGCATTCATATAACCTCTGGACTGCACACTTCAACAGAAAAGCAGAGATTTCCTAGGACACATCTCTTTGCCACTTTTGCCCAACTGCAACTCACTTGTGATCTCACAACCTTAATTGCAGGCGGTGCTGTATCAACATTACACTTAACAAAACTTCTGGTTTTGGATGCCAAAAATCTGCCTTGAAAAACACTTATACAGCAATGACTTATCAGAAAAAGATTAGGCTGCTACAATCTTGTCTTTGAGGCAGCAGACGAAGATGTTAAGCTAGCATGTCCTAGAATGCATCAATATTTCAGACAAGCAGTAATGATGTTAATTTAACTGTATAAAAACTTCCCAAGGATCATTGTCGCCCTGATTTTTTAAGTTTTTCTAAGCCTTCTGATGTTTACATTCTTGTAATGAACTTTCTCACACACTATGTAAATAACTTATTGTTTTTCATTCTTTTATAGAAGAAGAGAAATTTGATAGACTGTTAGTTTGCCCAGTGTCATTGGAGAGGTGGCACTTTCACCCTCCAATCCATTGTCAGTTTTGGAAATCTATAAATGCTGGAGTCAGAAATTAAAAAGTCTCTTTTTACCTTGAAAGAGCAGTGCATCCGCGTCATGTTGTTTCGTGTCCTATAGTGACAGATCAGTGCTTATATTTATCAACAGCATCACAGCACTCACAGACACCAATTACTGCATTCACAAATTAGAAAGAAATCATGAACTAACAAAATCACAATTTCCATTTTGAACCAGGCCTGCTTTCCTTGGAAAAAAGCAGATAAAGTAGCTAAACCCTCCTCTTGAGAGCACCACAGACATACCTTGAGCAGAATTGTGTTTCCCTCGTAGTCCTGTGTTTGCCACCTGGAGCTGCTGATGGGCACGCAGGGGTTGGGCAGGAGGGGCACCAGCTGCCCGATTTCCTGCACCCTGAACTGCAGCGCTGCCGAGTCGGGCGGCTCGGCCGTCACCCCCGGGGGCAGCTGCTTCAGGCACAGCTGCACGGCCACGTCTGGGGTGGCGTGCAGCACGAAGACACACAGGGTGCTCTTCTGCAGCGTGCCTTCCTTCTGGAGGATCAGCTCGTAGAGCCTGACTGCGTCCTCGTAGTTATCAAAGCTGCAGTGGAGGGTGACCCGCAGGATTTCGGGGCCGCGCTGCGCCCGCCTGACGCCCCACACGGGCAGCTGCTCGTCCAGCCCGTAGAAGTCCTGCTGGCACGGGGCACAGGGCGGGCTCTGCCCCTTGGCAAACTGGGCACGCTGGTAGCGCCAGGGAGGGCGCTGGAACTGCTCGTGGACCTGGAAGATCCGTTCTTCTCCCAAGTCCTCGTGCAGAAAAAGGAGGATGGATATTCCAGGAAAGCTGCAGCTCCTCTTGCGGTACCTCTCGTAGTATTTCAGTGGAGGAGTTCGCTCAGACACCAGGAAAAGGCGAATGTCCAGGCAGAGCCAGTCCAAAATTCGATCCAGAGTTTGCTGCAGAGGAAATGAGTGTCCCAAATGGGTCAGGAGATGCACAGTCAGCAGAGACTCTGCTCCATCATCCATCGCAGAGACTCCAGGCAAAAAAACCAGACAAATTGGTGCCTTCCTTTTACTCTGCCTCGGGAACACAAGGATCTATTCTGAGCCTTGAAGAGAATGAGTCTGGACTCCTGCAGGCTTTGCAGTAACTTGATGAAACACGTGGGTAAGCACAGAGAACCTGCAGAGGGGGCAGGTGCGGAGTGAAAGGCTTTAAGCGAGCGGTCCCAGGTCACATCAAGGCTCACTCCCAGCTCTGGGGCTGTGGGCACTGAGTACCTGCGACCCAAGTGTCCAGGAACAGCACTGCATCCTCCTGCTGCTGCCCTTCTCAACACAGGACAGCACAGATGCACAGCCCTGCGACACAGGCAGCGGTTTTCCAGGGTGAGGGGATGCTCCCTTGTTCCCAGCAGTGGAAGTGGCTGCTCTGGACCCAGCTGGGTCCCACCAGTGCAATCACTGCCTTTGCCAAAGCCCACGCGGCACTCACGGCTGAAACCCTCAGCAAATTTCCTTGTAGTCAGCAGGCTGGCTGTGGCTCATTGTACAAAGCCTGTGATCTCTGTGAGTCCCACCCTTCTGGGGCACGCAGATAAGCTGCTCTTTGAAAACAAGGAAGGAAAACAAAATAACAAAAGAAAAGACCCAACCATGTGAATATTACAGATAACAATAAGGGCAGATATAAATCAGGAAAGAGGAGCTTTGGGAAAAAACCTGGACTCATAGTAACACCTTTCACAACACAGGTAACTTGGTGCCTAACTGGAAACCAGGACTTGGGTTATTGTACATAGCCCATAAAAGCTGGGTACCAGACTTCCCATTTTCAGTGCCCTCTTTGCTTCTTTTTCTTCCTTTACTTTTTTTTTCCCCCCCCTGAGATACCCATGTAATCAGCAGCCTTAATCAAAGTCCAGGGTTTTTTTTCTTGCTCCTTGGGTTTGCATGTTGGTACTTATGTTACTGCATAAGCTACACTAGGAATGCTGAAAATACACTGCTTTCCAGTCTCTTCTAGTGTGGACAATAAATCACACTGTCCCTTCATCTCCCTGTTTGCCAGCCCAGCAGCAGCACAATACAGGTCAAGCCAAACCCACTTCCTATACTGAGCTGCCCCCACTGTAGCCAGCGTTTAAATCAAAACTGGCCTCTGGTGATCTGTCCAGCTCCATCTAATTAAGAGCAGCACATCTCTCTCTGCTGACATGCCAACTTCCCTCTCAAACAGCCAAGCACACAAAGCAGTGGTTCACTGTTAAGAAATCCCAGCATTAATAAGTCTGTTATTCAAAATTCTGAACTATTTTTTTTTTTAATATGACCCTAACTTTATATTCAACTAAGTAAAATCTCCAGGGTCTAAAGGTATAAGCAGCAGTGCCTTGGTTTCCTTTAGGGAGATCTCTCTCACTGGTAGAAACTCACACTCATGCTTAAAAAGCTACACTGATACCTATGTACAATAAACATTTTTTTAAAGTCTAAAAAATGAGGAAAAAAGATATTTTGCACCCACCTGCAACACTGCGAGCAAGTAACAACTGCTGTTGGGAGGGAGACAAAAACAAAATCCAGCCTTCAGACAATTCCAGGAAGAGAGTGAAGAGTGCAAGTGCTCAAAATATTAAAATGCTCTAGATGAGCTCTGAACAACACAATTTCACTAAAATATGGAAAAGGAAATGATTCATCAACTCCTTGCTACAGGGCAGGGGCAGGCAGTCATCTGCCTTCCTGCCTGTGGAGAACAGGGGAGTTTGCCTGTACAGGAAAACACTGAAACTGAGTAAATTCATCAGGGCTTGGTTTGTGGCTGGGAGCAGCTCCCAGGAGCAGGTTCCCCTGTTCCCACCCCAGGTGAAGATCCTTGGGCTGCTGCTGCACCTCAGCCAGTGCCTGCCCACTGCCCCTCCTCCCTGGAGCAGGACCCCACTCCTGCCCTGCAACCTGCTCCCTCCCAGGGCAGTGGAAAGGGAGCAAGGGCAGGCTGTCCTCCTGCAGAGCCATCACTGCTGGCTTGTGCAGCTCTCAGCCCCAGGCCTGCTCCAATCTGCTGGATAAAATCTGGTGGGCAGCTGCAGCTCTGTGGTGGGTGTGACAGGGGACTGAGGATGTGAATTCTTGCACAGCAAGTGGAGAGTAAGGGCTGGTTAGGGAATGATGCAGAAACTTCGGCCCTCTCTGTGGCCAGGGGGAGGCAAATTGTTTTCCAGATGGGGAGGTGCCTCCCACAGAGGTTGCTGAAGGTATGCAGCATCTCTTCTGTTTTCACAATGTCCAAAAACCTGAGCCTTACTCACAAAAAGGGCTAAATCTGGAATCCTCCACCATGTATTTCTTCTGTACTTGCTGGGATGAGACAAGGAACCAATCTCAGCTCTGAAAGATGAAGCTGCCTGGAGAACAGTTTTAGGGCTGGTTCTCAGCTCCCCAGCAGCTCTGGATCAGGAGAAGCCACCAATCCTCCTGCAGGGAGCATGAGAGAAGCTGAAGCTCAGCCTTTGCCTGACCCTCTCCCTCAGAGGGCAGCCCCACCACACAGCCAAACCCTCCTGCTCCTGTTCCACTTGCTCTGACAACTCAGTGTTCTTAGGGAAGGGCTCAAACCAGGTTCCACAGCCTTAGACAAGGGTATCCTCATGCCCTCCCTTTGTGTCAAATCTACTGTTCCCCAAGCCTTGGGATAAAACCTGGGTGCAATGGCCCTAACTGGTGCAGCTGGTGAGCTCAGAGCCTTCACCCACTGCTGCTGTCAGGGGAACACAAAACTGCCACCACATGCCTTCCTTCACAGCTTGTTCCCTGGAACCAGCCCTAGCCCTAGGCTGCTTTTCCTGCCTCCGGCTAGGGAAAAGGGAAGAGGGATGGCTGCCACCAGAACAAAGTGCTGGCTTTTGCTGGGCCATCTAAGAAAAGCAAAGTGCTGATTTCACTCCAATCCCTGAATGGAATGAGTCCTTGCCTTCATCTCTGCCTCCCCTTCCCCCAGCTTCCCAGTCGCTGCCAAAAGGAAAAGCACATTTTTCACTGTGACCTACTGAACGCGCCAGGAAAGATTTCTGCAAGAGATTAGAAAAATAGCAGTTCAATCATACATGAAAAGCCACTTTGCGGAGGGGAGGAGGGGTGAACACTTCTGATATGGGACTCAAAAAACTCAGGACCCCATTCCCACCTGGCAGTGACTGGTAACACAGCAGAACATGCAGGAAGCTGCTGGGACACTCCAGCTGTGTGTAAGAGCAGGAGAAATATGAACTGGCACTAATGCATGCACTGGTAAGCCCTGCACAAATTAAAGTCCAAACACAAACAACTAATAAACGCTTTATGGTATGAAACCTCAGAGAACACTGTGTGCTGTAAGTCTAAAATTCTACAGTGGAAAGTCTTTTAATTAATTTAATTAAAAATTCCTTTTCATAATCAATTCCTGAGTTGCGCCTAGTCCTCTGCACTGTTCAGAGCCCTTTGCTCCAGCTGACACCATCAACAGTGATGATGCATCACAGGATTTAATAAGTTCAGAGCAACACCTGTAAGGAAGGTACTTTACAAGGATTATTAGAATGTAATTAACTGGAGAGAGACTGAGTATGTATTACCTAAGCACCTTGGGAGAAGGCCTCATTAAATACATGACTCAGGCTTCCTAATTTCCTTTAAAAACTTTTTTTGCTTTACACCAATCTCAAGCTCTGCCTATAACAAGGACAAAACTACTAAACTAACCTACTAGATGACAATTATATACAGCATACACAGTACAGAGACAAAAATCAAGATTAAGGCCTTACTTGAATACAAAAGCCTTTTCAGAGGTTGTCTCTGGCTTCAAACTCTGTGACTCCAATCCATCATCACTTTGGAGGAACTAAAGACCCAATGACCAAAAGACCAAAACCCCATCTAACCTACTGCATTTAAGTAGATTAAACCACATCTTCCCTGTGCACCTGGTGACTGCAGTAAGGAGAATAAGCAAAGTTATCCTCAGGTGATGCAGGCTTTGGGGCAAGGGCAAAGCTGAAAGCAGCACTGGGACACAGAGGTGAGCTTCCTAGTAGTAACAAATATGTTGTAGAAAGGCACTGCATGGCCTTGGCTGGTGGTCATATTCATCTCTCACCAGATTATGTGTCCTCAGCCAGGGCACTAGCAAACAATTCCATTTTTCCTCAGTTTTCAGTTTGTCTAAAATATTTTTTAAAAAACCCAAAACACTCCATGCACCCAAATGGAGACCCACTAAACATAATGAGCCAACTGGAGGTTATAGCAGAAACAAGTATTTGGTAACAAAGGTCAGAGAAGGGGTCAGGTTGGAAGGGCCCTGCATGGGGCATCTGGTCCAACCTGCCTGCTCAGGCAGGATCAGCCCAGAGCACATGGCACAGGATTGGGTCCAGATGGTTCTGGAATATCTCCAGTGAGGGGAGACTCCACACCCTCTCTGGGCAACCTGATCCAGTGAAGTTCTTCCTCACATTCAGGTGCAACTTCCTGGGCATCAGTTTCTGCCATTGCTTCACACCACAGAGCAGAGCCTGGTCCATTCTCTCAACACCCTCCCTTCAGTCCCTTGTAGACATTGATTTGATCCCCTCTCAGTCTTCTTGAGACACAACAAGCCCAACTCTCTCAGCTTTTCCTGTGGTGACACTGAAGGGCCAGCATTCAGCACTGACCCAAATGGCATCTCTGGGATCTCTCTGCCACATCCCCAGTGTCACCCTTCCACAGGTCAGAGTGGGACAAAGGGGAAGTCAGCCTGCTACACATGAATTTAAGGGACTCATTTCTGAAAGTTTTAACCCAGCAATTTTTATATACATTACACCTCAATTAAAAATCTTCCAGAAAAAGAAAACAGGCAGATCTGAACAAACCCAAGACTTGCAGGGCCCAGTGAAGTGTTTGTTTAATCAGCTTACATTTAGCATTGTTGAAGGCGACTGAGAGCAGAATTGTTGGAAGGCCAGCAGCAGGGTGGGTGTGACTGCACCCTGCCGAGCGCTAATAAGAGCGAGCCCCCAGGAGGTGCTGACCCCACCAGCGAGGCCAAGCTCCAGCTTCAGGAACCAGTCAGACCCACGCACTGTGAAGGCTTCTAATTACTCCCTTTCCTGAAGACAACCTTCCTGAGATACAGAATAATACACCCAAACTTCTAATTAAGAGAGCCTTGGCCTGGATCCCACATTATTCTGGAATTGCAGATTTGCATAATTAAGTTGATACCAAATGCTCTGACAGACAAGCTGCAGGAGATTATAGGCCTCATCTTTAACAGAATTTCAAAAGAAGCAAGATCCAAACAGCCAACAAATATTAGCAGAAGTGGCTCTCGAGTCTAGGAAACTCAGGCATTACTGGGATTTGGGGCATGTTCTGGTAACTCTGCAAAGAAAAATCTGCACATGAACTCAAAAGCCATTGTAAGGCACCACTGGGCTCTAGCGTAGCATCACTCTGAGGACTGCAGGACTTCTTATTGTGATTTTTCCTCCCAAAACCAGAACTGTTAAAATGAATGCTATTCACAAACAGGGGCTGGAAGTTGCACCTTCTGGTGGATGCCCCTTTTCTCCTTCCCAGTTTTACTCAGGCAAACAGGAGCATGTGGCTCTTCAGACAATTCCTTGTCCTGACTACAGCTAGTCCAGGTCAGCAGCTCCAGGACTGGGAAGGTGAAACAGGCCTTTCCCTCCTGAGCAGCAGTTTGCTTCTTGCTTCAGGACAAGCAGCTGCTGAGAGCAGGTAGATTGTCAGGCTGGCTGGAGACCCAGGCAGATCTCATGCTGCTACATACAATCACATCACATTTGCAAGATTTTCTTCGCAGGTAAAAAATGTGGGAAAAAAAAGTCAGAGATTGTGTTTGAGAAGACCAGAAGCACCAGCCTAAACCTCAGTGGCTCACAGTGGAATGGGGCAGAGTGCACTTACCAGTCTGTGCACTTCCCAAAAAAAGCTGGGCTGTCCTTGAAAAACTTGCCTTAATTTAAAAGACTGTAAAAATAGAGACACTCACATTATCATATTTACATCTAATTTCCTTAAAGCAAGGACTAATGCTGTGGCTTTCTTTCCACATATCAGATAAATACAGTGTGGTCAGAACTGAGGCTTCAAGCACTAACCTAATGAGAATAAATAACTGAGATTAAAAACAAGAGGATAAAAATACCACCAGACTAAACATGATCCTAACAGCCCACCTGGACAGAAAGCATGATTCTCCCTGGGCAATAAGACCACATCCATGGATTTTTCAAAGCACATTTGTTACTGCAGCTAAAGTGCAGAAGGTGCCAAAGAAGCTAAAGATGCTAAAAAGTACAGAAGCATAGTGAGTTGAGAACCTGGAGCCTATCTCCTATTCTTTTGTAATAGTATTTTCACTCTTTTCTACTACTCACCAATTCCTAAAAGCTCATTTTTCTGTTGCCTAAGCAGATAGTGAATAAATATTATTCCATGCTGATTTCATTCTATACCACAACCATCAGACAAGAGCAGAGTGGTGCAGTTTTAGACATTACTCCCTCACCTGCATCCCAATTCACAAAAGACCAAGAGGTTAATTTGCATTCCTAGAACCAGAATTTATACTTGCCTCT